CGGTCCGGAAACCAGGCGGCGCGGCAGGAGTGATACCACGGAGCCGTAGTCGATGAGCATCACTTGTCTGAGCGAGCGCTCGTGGACGTGGAGGCGGAAATCCGAGAAGGATCGAGCGGCGCCACCGTGTACCGCCAAGTTGTGCGGCGGCGCTACTTGTTTAACGCCCTGTCCTGTTCATAGCTGCATGGTGGAGTGCAATTCCGAGCCTTCTCCCGGAATTTCCGATGGTAACGACACCAGGATGATCTTGCTGGCGCGGTGCCCCCCGAGGCTGCGCGTGACCGGGAGCGTGATTGAGCGCGTGACCGAGCGCGTGATCGAGGGCATGATAGCCCGCCGATGGCGATGGTCAGCTGGTGAAGTTGATCGGCCACCCGGTTGATGGAGATGATCAGGTTGGCGAGCATCGCGTGCATCGCCGTGTTTTCCCCGTCCATGTTGTCCCGCTGAGGTGGAGGCCTGGGAAGGGCGGTGCCTGGCGGAGAGAGAGGGCGCCCCTGTCGGGTGGCACAGACGCCCAGCACGACCTCGTAGACGCCGTCGGCCCTGGCGGCGAGCTCGTCCAGGTCCATGGTCTGCAGGAGCCACAGCAGCTGGGAGATTTGCGGAGGCAGGAGGTCGAACCACCGGATCTTGATGTCGTCGTCACTGACGTTGTCGCCGGCGAGGTACCGCATGTGGCGGAGAAGCTGAGACGGCGAGCGGTCGCCCATGGTGAGGCCGGAGAACAGTTTCTGCAGCCGTTTCTCCACGGTGTCGCCGAAACGAGCGATGATGTGTTTCTTCAGCTGCTCGTATTTGCCGGTAGCGGGCGGCGTCCACAGCACATCCTGGAGCTCCCCGACTGTGTCCTGGTCCAACTCTGCTACGGCGGCGTAGTAGCGGTCGTCGTCTGAGTGCATCCCGTAGTTCCTGAAGATGGCCTCTAGCTGCACGAACCAGAGGTCCGGCCATTGACGCGTGAAGGGTGGAAAGCGGCAAGGTCGGCGTCCGGCGTCGCAGGGCTGGCTGGCCTCGGCGCAGGTGCAGGTGCAGGCGGTGGTCAAAGCGTCGGAGGTCGGCGTAGCAGCCGGTGCCGTATTCTGGAGTTCGGTATCGCGCTGGGAAGCCTCGGCGCGTGTGATGGGCATCTTCCTCTCTTTTCTTTCCTTTTGAAGGCGAAGAGGTGCCGGTGATAAAGGAAAAGTTGGTACTCACGCGAAGATGGATGGCGCCGGAGAACACGTGGCGTTGGAGAGCACGTGGTGATGAAGAACACGTGGTGTTGCCGAGCACGTGGTGCTGAGAAGCCAGTGGTGTGGAGAGCACGTGGGGCTGCTGAAGATGGTCCTCGGGATCACGTCGGGGTCACCAATTTGGGAATTTCTTTCCCTAAGTTACTAGGCGCGTTAAGGTGAGTTCTCACCAACGCGAGGAACGGGCCGCGGAGAAAGGAATGGGCCAATGAGACTCCGTGGGGAGGAAAGAAATTTCCGATTATATTTTTGATCCCGTGGGACGATATTTTATTTGTCGGCGTGGTGTGCCACGTGGTCACGTACAGAAGATAATGCTTGTACACAGGAGAGACCTTCTTACACAAGAGCGCGATGAGAAGAATGCGACCGGAYGGTGCGACGGACGAAGTAGAAGTGATGWGGTTTTTCCTGCGTGTGCACCGCCACGGCGATCCAGGCATCCGGAAGTGGGGAGAGCAACGGTCGCAGTGGTCACTCTTCCGCTCTGGCCAGTCAAAAAGGCGTGGTCAGGCCAATCGGATGCCCCTGCGGAACCGCGATACGAGGTGCTTGCGTAAGTTAGTGCTGTCGGCCGAGAGATGTCAGCACATTTCCTGCGCGCGCTGCTACAGCTGCGCGCTGTTGGCCGAGAGGTGT